GGGGAACTGGAGTTAGTATATAAAATGAAAGATATTTTTTAATAAAAAGAAAGCTACAAGGGAGCATTTTGTACTTAGAGCTGTTAGCTGAGATCATGGGATAATGTGATTAGATCCTTGCCTCTGTGCCTGTTCCCATTCACTGAAGGACTTCTAGCCACTATCTTTCCTGTTTCTCTGTCTAGCCAGTCAAAGGCTCTGGATAAGAATCTTGCATTTCCTGGCTGTGGGTTAGTAAGCCTAGTGCTATACCAGCGTTCCTAGAGCCCTAGAGAAGGAGATAGACACCCCATGCTCCTTTGTAAGTGTTCAATTAAGCTCTTGGAAACTTCTGTTTAATCCTTAGTTTTCATACAGAATGCCTAAGCTTGACTTGGTCTGCTATCTGTGAGCCATAGTTTAACTTGTTAACAGCTTTGAAAGGAAAACCTCCTGCAGAACCTGAATAGGGAATCATCCAGATGTAAGATGGGAGGAAAGGGGGGGGGTCACTTCTTAGTCATGTGTCATGCCTCAGCTAGACTTTGAACAACATTTGGAATAATCTAGCCCTACTAATTTCATATTTCTAGCATTGTTTTGTTTTTTTAAGACAGGGTTTCTCTGTGGCTTCAGAGCCTGTCCTGGAACTCACTCTGTAGATCAGTCTGGCCTCGAACTCACAGAGATCTGCCTGCCTCTGCCTCCAGAGTCCTAGGACTAAAGGTATGCATCACCACCGCCTGGCCTCATTGTGATTTTTAAAAGGTTTTGCTCCTTTCTTTGCATCCTTAATGTTTTGGTGCTTTTCTCATTTGCCTCCTTTTGGAAATAAAAAGTCTTTACTACGATTTTATAGCTGTATGGGTTTAGTCTGTAGAAACCTTTTGTTTGCAACCTTCTTTTGTGACCTTTCTTTAGCTCTCACTCTACTTCTGTTCATTCCCACACTACCATCAGAATAGTCTTCATGAAATGAGTATCTCTTTATGAAAGCCCCTCTACTTTTGATTGTTCAGTAATACATTCTTGTTCTTGGCATGATGGACCATATAGTTTTTAACTTATTCACAGACATTATGCATTATGTTTGTGTATTTTCAAAATGTGGTCCTGTTCTTAGAGTTTAGTAGACAGTTACAGTTTATTTGTCCCTGACATGTACCCAGAACTGTATATTCAACTTCTTGTTATTGTTGTGGAGACTATGGCTGTGTGTGTGTGTGTGTGTGTGTGTGTGTGTGTGTGTGTGTGTGAGTGTGTGTGTGTGTCTGTGTGAGTGTGTGTGTGTGTGTGTCTGTGTCTGTGTCATTGTAGGCCAAAGTAAGCTTCAGTGTCATTCCTCAGGACTCATCCTACCTTGACTTTTAAGGTCTCTCACTGGGACCTTGGCCTCATAGTCTAGGCTGGCTAGCCAGCAGGACCAAGGAATCTACCTGTCTCCACTTCCAAAGCATCTTTGACATGGATGTAAATCTCTCATGCTTACACAGCAAGCATTTAGCCAGTTGAGCTATCTTCCCCAATCCCTCAGCATTTGGTGAATGAGAAGATACAAAGCTGACAGCTGATAGACCTTCATTTTTGTGTATCTTTCCATTCCGCTGGATGTCTGAATATGCCACAGTGTTTACTTTTATTTCTTCTATTTTTGAGATCATAACATAATTACATCATTCTCTCCTTTCCTCCTCCAATCCCCGCACATGCCCTTTCTTCCCCTCTTTCAAATTTATCGCTCCTTTTAAAATTAGTTGTTGTTACATGTATATATGTATATACATGCAAAGGGGTTTTTAATAGTCTATTGCTAAGTCTTAAAGTTCCCAACATTTTTATTTTAAATTGTTTCGACGGTTTTTAAATTTTTATTTATTTGAAAGTTTCACCTGTATGTGTGTCTGTGCTCCCTGGGTGCATTGTGTTGCAAGAGGCCAAAAGAGAGGATCAGAAACTTAGGAACTGGAGTTACAGACAGTTGTGAGCCACCATGTGAATGCTGGGAACTAAACAAGCATGTTGAGCAACTGCTCTTAATCACTGGACCCATCTTTCCAGCTCCTCTGTTGGGGATTTTAATATACACCATGATTCAAGGATATAAATACAGTTCTTACAAGTTAAAATGCTAAACCAGAAACAGTGTTGTTTTAAAGGCTTCTGGCGTGTGTGTGTGTGTGTGTGTGTGTGTGTGTGTGTGTTATTTCAGATAAGATGAACTAGTTTGTAAATTACCAGCAACACTATTTCTTAACAAAACATATATGTAAGAATATTCTGGTCCAAGTTGTATCTTTCTGGTCACTTACAACAAGTACTTTTATATGTTTGTAAGAAATCCACACATCAGCTAGTGAATTGCCTATTTGTGTTTCTGACCATTTTCCTGCCAAGGTAAGGTTTCTCCCACCACCCCAATTAGTTTTCTAGGAGAAAGTGATATGCTATAACAGTGCTTTTGAGAGTACAGTATCTTCTTCCACAGTGAATTTAATAGTGTTCAATGTTTTATGTGTAGCTAATACATTTAAAAATATTATTAGTTACAGTTAAAATAAACCTTTGAATTTAATAATCAAAATCTCTTCTTGTAATATTCTAGGAAAGTCGCTATACATCATTGTCTAAAATATTTGCAAGTCAGCTTAAGTTGCATAAAAATATAACTCCAAATCAAGAGATGGGCTGGAAGCAGTTTTACCAAAATCTTTTGGTGGGGTGATGTCCTGTTCTTGTTGTTATTTTGGGGGAGGGTCAACTTAACACAAACTAGCATTTGGGAATAGGAACCTCATTTGAGAAAATGCCTTCAGCAGATTTCCTGTAGGCAAGTCTGTAGGACATTTTCTTGGTATTAATGTGGAAATATCCAGCCCATGGTGGGTAGTGCCACCCATGGGCAGATGGTCCTGGGGTGTTTAAGAAAGGAAAGTGAGCATGTTGTACACACATGCATGTATGTGTAAGACCGACTGTGTTCATTTAGTGTGGCTACTTGTACATTTGTTTAGGGCTGGGCACTTAGAATTGCCTTAACTATCAAGGAGGCTCATCCCTGGAGGAAACTAACTCTCTCCCTCAGCAGCCATTGACTGCTTATAGCTCCTCATCTAGTGTTGTGGCCTTATAAAATCCCTCATCCATGCTGGCATGTCAAGGCTGTGATCATAATGCAGGTTATGTTTGTGAAAATATACTGTTGAGTTTTCATGCCTAAATATATAATCTTTGCCATTGATCATTTAGGTAAGTCTATAGAGTTGTACAAACATCAGGCACTCTAATATTTGAACATTTCCCCTACTCCCAAGTTTCCTATTGGGAATAGAAATTTTGGGGTTTTTTATTTTCAGTATTTTTAGGGGGTCATGTTTCAAGATAGGTTTCTCTGTATCACAGTCCCAGCTGTCTTTGAATTTGCAGTTTATTTTGTAGATCAGGCTGGCCTCAAACTCACAGAGATCCGACTACCTCTGACTCCCTAGTGAGTGTGGCACCACTGCCTAGCTCTTTCATTTTTTTTATTTTTATTTTACAAAGCACTGGTGTTTTGCCTGCATGTATGTTTATGTAAGGATGTTGGGTCCCCTGAAACTGGAGTTACAGTCAGTTGTGAGCTGCCATGTGGATGCTGGGAAATGAACCCAAATCCTCTAGAAGAGTAGCCAGTGCCCGTAACCTCTGAGACATCTTTCCAGCCCGAGTATATTTTTAATAATGAAAACATGTTTATGGTATATTTTCCTCAAAGTAACTATTGCTAACAATTTACTTCTACTATGAGGTAGTAAGTTAATATATTGACAGAAACCAATCAATAATGCACTTCTTGGGACCAGAATTCTGGGCAGTAAGTATTATGTGCAGTGTTTACCCTTAATGAATGAAAGTCCTAAAACATTTAAAGTGAGTTAATACAGAAGTAGTCCTGGGAAGTCAATTAGAAAACATGACAAAATGTTTATAGTAAGCCTCTCTTAATAATGCTGACTTGTGTTTCTTAACATTTTATTGATTTTTAAGATTGGTATAAATGTACTCCTTTGTATTTAATATGTATCAATCAGCAAATTAGTAAATTGTGTTTATGCTGACATCTCTAGTCTGAAGTTAATGGCTCATTGTAGTGCTCATTTATGCTTCCATCACATTAAAACAGTTATTTAAGGGGGAATCTGCACCCTGCCGTTTGTTGTTAAAACAAAACAAGAGATTTATTTAATCAAGCTCATTATTCATTGTTGTTCTGGCCCTTCAGCAGATAACCATGATGATTTAAATCCCCCCCTTGATCTTGTAGAATGCATGTATGTTATATGATAAGATGAGGCATTATGCTTTAAAAAAACTGAGTTAACATTAACACTGTCCTGGTTGACTGAAAGAAATAAAGTAGATCAATTAATTTTTTAGTTTATATTTTACAAAACATTTCTTTTCTTTGGGGTACCAGCTATTATTTATTGCCTACTAAACATTAATGTCCAGTTTTATTTGTACATTTTTGTGGAAAACCTTTGATTAACATACTTCCTTCAACAGCTTATTTTTCATGGTAGAAAAGTACTGTTTGATATGCTATTAGTGGCATTCTGTAGTACACTGCCCCCTGAGCAAACTTAAAAACCACCAAGGTAAATAAATCATTGAAAAACAACAGAAATGTAAATATTCCCAAAGAACTGTCTTATAGGTAACTCAGACCTACCAAAATCTATTCATCCAGTTTACTGAGCACCCTGAATTGTACTTTTAGGCACTGATGAGTAAAAGTGAATAGCCAATACTCCCTCCAACAAAACACAAACTTAAGGTAGACCTTCTTTGTCCAAAAGCTATAGATAACAAATAAGTATTTTCTTCTACACTGTTTCATAGTTTCAAAATGGATGAATTTTTCTTTCTTATTTTCTAAAAACTTGAGATGTAAGATTTTATATGTCATAATTGAGGGGGAGGGTATGTTGTTGTGTTCCAGGAATGTGACTTTGACTAATGATTGTATGACTTTCCCCCTGTAGGCATAATGCAGAAAAAGGTAGAAGAGATTACAAAGGCATTTGAGGAGTATCGTCGCAAGGAGCAGGAGTGCAATATGAAGATTGCCTTTGAATAACTACCACCCAACCAACTCTTTTTGGATTATTCATAAACCCTGAATTCTGATGCTATTAAATAGAGTAGTGTTTACAGTTACTACTTATCTTTGATTGCAATAATTTGTGCATGTGTCTGATTATTTTTCACTTAAATACTGTAAAGAGAAGTATCCAATTTTTCTTTCAGAGTGAAATAAAATCCAGGCTGATGTCATAGCTCAGTGATAGAGTACTTATCCAGACTTAAGTAAAAGGTGTATTAAGCCCCTTGCCCAGGCATTTACCTATTAGGTATTGATTTTGTGTGTATAATCCATATCTTACTCACATAGAGGCTACATCTTATCACCAGGACACACCAACTTCCTACTTCATTGTGAGAAGATGTTTGCCAAAACATACATGCCACCAAGTCTTTACTGGGTGTTTGTTGCCCTTCATGTATCATGCTGTATACTGTAACGTCTCAGTGTGAAATTTACTGTCTACTCTGAGATATAGTTTTCAAGATGTGATTTTTATCTGTGAAAGACAATATGGGCAATGAAAACAAGTGTATCATCAGTTACAGCAGCTAGTGTCTTTCAGGAATACAGAGAAGGTAGTATGGTTTTGTGGATTATGGATTTAATTAGGGCTGTTATTTTTCTTATGGTTCTAGAGATCAAACCCAGTGCCACACCATTGGATCATATGCCCAGCACTGAATTATTTTACTTTTAAGAGTAAGGTTCACATGATTCACTTACTTTTGACTACATATAGATACCTCAGTGGTTCAGTTAGGTTTGATCAAAATCTCACTGTATAGCCTAGGCTGGCTTGGAATTTACAATCCTCATGCCTCGATTTTCCAAGTGTCACCACACCTAGGTATCCTGGAGATTGTTTTTCATTTGTTTTGTTTTATCATATGGTTTGGACATGTTTTTTTTTGTGTGTAAGTTTTTATGTTCTCAAAGAAAAAAAGCCTTCTTCTTAGCTAAAACACCCCAATCTCTTGTGTTTTATCAAGTCCTTAATAATGTGATGTCTTGAAAGTGAAAATAAACGGATTAAAAGTTAACTGACTGAACTGAATTTTTGTTGTCAATATCACACTGAAGAGGAAAGGTTCTTGTTACAGGAGAAAATAATGGATTCACTTCCTATACAAACATTTATTAGTTATTTCAATAAGTTTTTGTCTCTCAAAATTACAGATGGTAAACTGGAGTTGGTAGCATAGGCCTGCAATCCCAGCCACCTAGAAGGCTGAGAAAGGGATCACAGATTAAAGGCCAGCCTAGGTTATAGGCTTAGTTCAACTAAATAAGAACTTGTCTCAAAGAAAAAAACATTGTCTGGGCCCAAAGTCCTAGCGTGTACAAGCTTCAATCTTCAATGCTGACAGTGTGTGTCTATTTGTGGGTGTGTAGGGGGAATAATGAGAGAATATTGCAGACTATTAAATCCTGTAGGCTTTTTAAGGTAAACACAGTTTTGAGTAGACTTTTGAGGAATCTCAAACTTTTGAATTTCAATATTTTTACCAATATATCCTAGATAAGGACAAAAGTCCTCATTTTTTCCCAGAAAAACAAACAAACAAACAAAAAAAACCCTTGCCTAAATAACCCACATAGAAATGAGGTTCCACATTCAGTAAATGCAATATAATGTTTTACATGAAATTCTGGTTTGAAATTTATGTTTACCTAATTCACTGAAGAAAAAAAATCATGTTGGGCAACATTTTTTTCCACAAAAAGCAAAACTTGATTGATGTTTTCCCATGAATCCCATGAAGTGTTTTATGAGAATAAACTAGTTTTCGATTCTAAGTTTTGTGGTCCTCTGTTTTAAATACTGGCAGAGGGCTTTTTGCAAATTTTCTCCATAAAGTAGAGAAGAAGCTAAAGTCTGTTTACACTATCTTTACTGGGATTTGTAGTATTTTTAACCCCCAGTACATAAATGATTCTAAGCCAGGCTTAATGGCACATGCCTTTAATCCCAGCAATCAAGGCAGGTGAATCTCAGTGAGTTTGAGGCCAGCCTGGTATACAAAGTAAGATCCAGGACAGCTAGCACCTTTACACAGAGAAACCCTGTCTAGAAAGTGACATGTGGCTTTCAGATTAATCCAGTAACCTTCAGTGTGCTGTCTGGAATTTGAATCCTTAGACTAAATCTCCCCTAAAGAACATTTGACCCTGGTTCTAACTTGTCTAAAAGATACGACATTGCTTAAATTTTGCCAACAATACTATGGCAACCATTGTTAGCTAGCTCAGATATTAACTGAAGCAAAGTTCTTACATTTGTAATACCATGCCCCACTCTCAACACATAGCCATTTTTTCCTCATTTAAGAAGAATGCCTTTGAAGAACTTGAAAGCCATGCACAGTTGTTTGTTCTTAATATTAGATGATCATAGATTGGGAGAAGATTTTTTTTTTAACATTTTCCATGCGGTAGAATCAGAAGCATACGGCAAACAAAGCTCCTTTAGGAAACACCTTGAAAACATGTCTTACTTGTTAAAGAGGAACTTTTGGCTTAAGTAAACTAATCTTTTAGATTGGTATATTTTTTTTCAGTTTGTCATAAATTTGCTAGGTGAAATTTTGAAATTAACTCAGGATAAACTATATAACCCCTAAGGTCTTGAAGCTTTTTACAGACTGATAGGCATTTAAGATGGGGAAAGGGATGCTGTGAAAAAGGAATAGCAAGTGCATCTTTGTTTGACAGAGCTAGAAGTACAATGGCATTCCTTCAAGTCAGTTTTCCCAACATTGCTTGGTACATCCAGCTTGGGTTGGCTGCAGTCTTGTACAGATACATAGAACATTTTCCACAACCTTGCTTTCCACTTGAAATCCCACAGTCATGTAACTGTCTTTTAGCTATTCTTTCTCTACACATCCATCTAGTAGATCTGCTTCGTAGTGCGTATCACTCCAGTATCTGTAGACTATATTTTATTTGAAGTAGAGAAATTTACTGTAATGGTAAAATGCTCCTCCACCTTTCCAAGAATTCAAGCACACTAGCAATCTTGGTAAGTTGTTCCATTTCCCTATTGACAAACTTGTCAAGCAGACAATTTGGTTCAATGCCAGAGTTAAGCCCCACCTCCTTAAAGAATATGCCTAAGTCACAGAGGATGTGACCCGCATATTGTTTATTCTGACATGTAGTCTTTATTCTTTGTCAAAACTACGAAGTGTTTTATGTTTTATTTGCATTTATTTACCAGAAGTTTTCAAGAAGTGCAAAGTTATGAAGCTTTCCTTTTGTTCCTGTAACTGCTCTTTGGTCTTTTCACCGACTTGAACATGACAGGATCAAGAACTTTGAACAGGTCTGAACTTACTGGATAACCTTGGAATATTTACTCATAAGTAACAACCCTGTTATGGAAAATATTTAAAATCATACCAAAGTATTATTTTACCTAAAGTTACACGGTTGCCCATTTTCCTCAAGATTCCTAATGCTGCAAGCCTTTAATGCAGTTCCTTGTGTTGTGGTGGCCCCCATCCATAAAATTACTTTTGCTGCTGTGTCATAACTGTAATTTTGCTACTGTTATGAATTGTAATATAAATAGCTGGTATGTGACCCCTGTGGGGATAGCAATCCACAGGTTGAGAAACGAGTTATCCTCATTTTACATAAGAGGAAGTTAAATTAAACCAGTTAAACAAATTTACTGGAAATCATATTCCATTAACTTACCAAAACAAAAATTTAATATCCAGGTTGGTTCGAAACGCTGTTATTGTATATTGCCAATAACAAAGAACTCGAATCTAAACCCAAGTAGTGTGAACCCCAAAGTCTACAAGATTTTTTTTCCTCACCTATCTCCTGTTATAAGAAGGGTTCTATTTAATTAAAAAAAAAAAAAAAAAGAAAGAAAGAAACAACATGACCAAAAAGCAAGTTGGGGAGGAAAGGGTTTATTTGGCTTACACTTCAGTATTGCTGTTCATCACTGAAGGAAGTCAGGACAGGATCTCAAACAGAGCAGGGATCTGGAGGCAGGAACTGATGCAGAGGCCATGGAGGGATTCTGCATATTGGCTTGCTTCCCACAGCTTGCTTGGCCTACCATCTTATAGAACCCAGAGTGGCACCACTCACTGGGCTGGGCCCTCCCTCAAGGATCACTAAATGAGAAAATGCCTTACAGCTGGACTTCAAAAAGGCATCTCCTCAGCTGAGGGTCCTTCCTTTGATGACTGTAGCTTTTGTCAAGACACACAAAACCACCCAATATACTAAGTGAGCCAGTCACACAGGTGGTGGTGGCACATGCTTTGAATCCCAGCACTTGGAAGGCACAGGCAAAATGATCTTGGTGAGTTTGAAGCCAGCCTGTCTACAAAGGGAGTTCTAGGATTGCCAGGGCTGTTACACGAGAAACTATTTCTAAAACCCAAAAATTCAGAAAAAAATTCAAAGGATATAAGGGCACACACCTATAACCCCAATGTATGGGAGGCTCAGGTAGGAAAGATTACAAGTTAATGGCCAATTTGAGCTCCATACAAAAATTATTTCTCAACATAATGACAAAAATTTCAATACATTTCATTGTATTTTCTTCTTTCTGTTCTTGTCCTTCAACCATTGCGTTCTGATAATTGGAAACATTCACTTCATTGTCATATGCTCTTATTGAAATATTTCATGTATATGCAGCAGCCATATACATATTCTACCTTTTGGACAACTGTAAGTGTATTATTGAAACTTGCTATTTCACTAGGTTATATTTTCAAGATTATAATAATCTAGAGGACTTTACCACCTTTTCATCATTATATAGATTTCATTGAATGTATTTAGATATTTAAGGTTTTTCCCAAGTTTTCTGCTATAGACGGCATTGAACAGTAATGCATATAGATAGATGAGTACTTATTATATTGAGCATAGTATTGGTAGATGTGTTGCATCATTTTTTTAAAGGAAATGTGCATTTACATTTCAATAGTTATATCAAGTTGTTCTTAGAGAGGTTGTACCAATTTATCCATCTACCAGCAGTATAAGTACCGGTTCACCAGACTGTCAATAAAACAAATGTATTGTTATATTT